GTGGCAAGCGACTCACGAAAACGATCCAATCACAACGCTGGCTCTACTGGTCAGTTCTTCGCCCAAGATCTCAGCAGCGGCTATATCGAGGTCTCGCGAGGTCCCAATTGGGAGCAAAGCTGCCAAAAAGGGGCTCAGGATACGCGAAGCTCGTTTGTGGGCTGAAGCAGCTTTGCCCGCGACCGTCGTGCTACGTCCCATCGTGGCAAGTTCCCAGTCGGCAAGCAGGCCAACAGGTCCACTGTCGCTCGCATCTGCAAGTACGGCTTTCGAGGCCGCCTTGATCGCTCCCCTCAAATCCGCAACGAGCGGCATCCAATCTGTCGTCAAGACGGGCAGAGGCGACAAGACACCATTGGCGCCTCTTTCTCGCAGTTGTCCAACAGATTGACCAGCTTGCGCTGCCTGAACAGCCTTGGCGGTGTCGCGAGCCACTTTTGCAGAGCCAAGGTACATTACCCACCAGGACTGTTTGACCTCATCCTCAATCAAGGCGCGTGCCTGTTCGGCGCCTATGCTGCGTCGGAGCTCGTGGGTTCCGAGATCCCATACGCGAGCCCTGCCATCAGCGTATTGTATCAGGAGGTCATCACCGCGGACAGCGACGCATTGAACAGCCGTGCCTCGTCCCGGAACGAGATAGAGCAACTTGAGGCCGTCCAGCAGGATCATGGCCAGCGTCCCATCCATCGAGCACACGCCCACGCATCCCTGGAGGCGAGCATGCGGAGCTGCAGAAAACGAAGCGATATCGGACACGTCTGTCCCGAACAGATTCCATTCTGCCTGAAGGGCAAGAGTGCTGCGACGCGGACGAATAGGAGGTTCATAAACTCGGCTTGTGGGGCATCCTGACCCCTGCACACTCACGCAGCTTCCCAGACCACCAAGTCCCCTTGCTTGCTTGTCCCAAACACGTGCTTCGCATTATTCCGCGGGTTCGCAACAGCTTTGAGTCCATCGATCACCACCCCTTTTGCCCGAGGTGCATTTTCAACGTCTCGCGCTTGCACAGCGCTTGTTCGGCCCGCAATCAGATCCAATAGTGGCAGAAGCCTGGCGTGGCCAGTTGCTGTCAAAGAGAGGCTAAGCATCAGCCTGAATTGCATCGGCAGGCCCATATAATACACACCTAGGACTATGACGACTCTTTCCAAGCTGAGCGGTAAGACAGCTGTGACAGCGGGCAACTCGGGAAACGCACTCTGCCACAGGTGGGAGTTGCCACACTTCAAGACTAGTCTGTCGAACTCGACGGCGGCTTCCAGCTTTGGCTCGCAACTGGTCTCCACGGCCATGGTGGGCTCGCTCGAAGTACTTTGAGACATTTCGCGGTCAGGCCAATCGACGTGTGTTCCGTCCTGATCGTGACTTGGCGTTCCAGGACCAATCGTACCCGAGTCTAAGTTCAGCACAGCGCTTCCCAGTACATTGGTCAAAATCGTATCTCCCTTGCTTTGGTCTACTCTGATTCCTTCTACCTTCTTGCCAAGCACCATCATACCTTTCCACTCCCTTCGAGAAGGCAATTCGAGCTGGCACTGTGCAAGATTGCTGTTGCTCAGATTTGCGGTTTCGTGTCGTCTGAAGAACGCTGCAGCACCTGCCGCAAAGGGAGACGCGTGATTGTGACCAGGAGGAATGATGGGTGTGGAACTTCCCGACGTCGGCATCAGTAGGGACGAAGAAGCAGGTCTGATTGCCGATGGCGCCACAAGCGGAGCTCCGGGTCCATGATCTGGACCCGCCTCTGTCGAAACCCCATTCAAGCCGGAAAGCTTAGACTTGGAGTGTGAAGGTTCCATCGAGTCCGATGCGGCGCTTGCGGAAGGCTCGGGCGTGATGCTCCTCGACAGCGAAAAGTCCCGCCGAAAGAAGGCGGCTGCCGCTTCAAACGCGCCTGACTTGCTATCATCGGCTAGCAATGACTCGGAGCCAGATGTTGGGGGAGGCGAGTGAATGTGGTCCAGGTGCAACGTGCCCACGTCATCGACGTAGAAGCATTCCAAATATGCGTTGGACTGATTGACCAGACGTATTGCTGGTGCGCTAACAGCGTCCGGAAAGGCGTGCGTTAGACGCACTCGCAGAGCAATATTTTTAGAATCGATGTCGACGAGAGCAAGCAACCTTCGTGCCGAATCCCAAGCTGAGAAGAGCTGCTGAGGCTCTGCTGAACTCGGCGAGGGACTTTCACCAGAATGTGTTGCACCACCGCCGTTTGATGTCTTTTGCACGTCGCGTACGTAGACGCGGCGTAGTGACGCGTAGTAAGGCGCCTTTGTCTCAGTGGCCAACACGCTGCCTGAGGCGGGTACGTTGGGCAAAGGTGTTCTGACCCTGGTAGGCGTCGAGCTGCTTCCTCTCAGCATCGCGAGCGCAGCAAGCGGTCTACTCCCTGCTGTTGTAGCAGGGACCGCCGGGTTTGACGTGTCTGACACCGCTCCAGTCAGAGATGGGACGAGCGATGTAGAGGTGATCAGCTTGGCGTCTCTTGTGGACCAGAGCGTGAGCAGACCAGATGACTGCAAGGTGAGCAGTCTGAACGAAGAGATGTACTGCAGGCCGCTGATTCGAGAGCGGCAAGGTGTCTGCAGAGACCGACGAGGATGGAGCTGCTCAGTCAAGTTCCGCGCCTCCTTGACAGAGCTAGTGTTTCGTGGCACTGCAGTAGACTTCGTCTCGGTCCCCAATGTTTGTTCGCGAGGCTCTTCTCTGACTTCCTCCACAAAATGCCTACGCATGTTGGAAGGCGCAGGGGACACATTGGACTGTTTCCTGCTTCTCGAAGCAGGTACGGGTGATCCATCTCCAGATCTTGTATGCGCGTTGTGATGATGATGATGATGTGAGAGATTAGGGGACAAGCCTAAAGCGCCCCTAATTCCACCTCTTTGTCCAGCGTGCCACTGAGCTTCCAGCATATCTTCTGCCCGATCTCCTTTGCCCAGTTCTCCCTCCACGCTAGCCTCTACGATTTCAACGCGACTCTGCGCCGAATTGGAAGTTGCGGAGAGTGGTTGAGGATGCTGATGATCGTCGTTGGCGTGCGTCGAGGTGGGAGACAAGGCTGTGCCCAACAGGGAGCTCGGTCCGGGTGATCGACTTGGACTTGTAGGTGAGAAACCCGCGAACGGCGCTCCTCCCGATAGACCGACGCCAGGCGCATGATGATGTCGCCTTGAGGCGCTGGATGTGCCGCTTTGAAAGCTGGGCGTGGGGGATGCAGCTCGCAGGTGCAGGTTTGTGCTGCCTTCGACTTTTCCATTGCCAAAGGCTACTCCTCCACTTCGTTCAGACCAGCCTGATGCGCGCATCGATGGACCTGCTTCTTCTTGCTCGACAATCTGCGCCTGCTGCGAGTTGCCGCTCGGAGCACGGCTCATCTCGAAGAGCCAGACTGACCCATCAGCCGTACCAAGGGCGACATGCTCCTGTTCTTCGTACTCCTCAAGTTGCCCGTCACCTGGCGCTATGACACCAATGTCGCCGCCTGCTACTGGTCTATTGCGCTTCTCTGCTCTCGTCTCTCGCCATGCGACCATCGCACACGCCCAAGGAGCTGTTGGCCTTTGCCAAGGATCCTCTTCGTCCTCATCCTCATCCTCGTCTGCATCTGCATCTGCATCTGCATCCACCTCTTTCGCCTTGCCCTTTCGATCCCTCCAGCGCTCGTCGCAGCCTTGCCAAGCAAGTTGTGCTTGGCGCTTCCAATCCATCGGCAGCCTCGGTCCTGCATGTTGTTTGGAAGGAAAGAGTCCGATGGGGATGTCCAGCGGCGCAGACCCTCCAGCGTATTGAGGAGACTGAACATGCATGCTCTTGTACTGTCTCTGTGTAAGATCGAGGAGCAGAGTATACTGTCGGGCCTGAGATTCGTGTGCGATGGCGAAACAGAGTCAAGGGGCAAGTGTGCAGTCGCCTTCATTCACGATTGCGGCCGTTGCAGCTTTCTGTTGTGTGAATCAAGAATCAGAATGGCACCGGCGCTACTCGCACGCAGCCACGCACAACTTGATGGCTCATCACAATCGAGTCTGCGCGGCTGTGCACCTCCACGTGACGCGCCTCAGGTCATCCATCACCCATCATCACAACAACAAACGCGGATCAAAGTCAGGAAGCGTTCCTTCCCGGCATTCTGCCATCTCCATCTACAAGCGTGAGCTATACGCGCTCGACCTCATCTCGCCGGCAGCGCTTCGATGAGACGGCACGAAGTGCAGCCTTCGAGTCGACTATGAGCGCTCCTGTCGTCGGTTGCCTCACGCGCTCCGCTGGAGCGATTCTGGGCCGACAAGCCTTGACATCAGATGTCTGCGCATGCACATCACTCGCATCTCATAGGTGGAGGTCAAAGGCCTTCTCGACATCATACAGCGGAGCCATTCCCTCGGATGATATACAAAGTGTGGACATAGCCATTGTCGGTGCAGGAGTGGTGGGACTAGCCCTAGCTTCCTCTCTGAGTGAGTTCTTCTGCTTCTCCCATCACCTCGCTACTCTAACTGACAAAAACCCGCCTTGGAAAGCGCAGCGAGAAAGGGTGTCTTGCATCCCAAGACTCGATTAGCTCTCATCGATCCCAGACCCTTGGAAGCCATTCAGCAATGGTCGCCTGGAAATGGCTCTGCATACGCAGATGGAGTAGCGTGGAGTAATCGGGTCATCAGTCTGAACGAAGAAAATCGGTCTTGGTTGGAAGGTGAGCGGCGACGTTTGTACGGATCTGTTCTCACAGCTCATCATCAAGTATTTCGAAACATGCAGCTCTAGGAGCACTGCCTGATCATCTGGACCCGAGGCGCATGAATCCGATTCGTAACATGCGCATCACGGATGGTTTGACTGGGTCGTTGATGAGGGTTGACGCACCTCCGTCTGAACACGGAACGGAAGCCCGGCTAGCCAGCATGGTGGAGATTGATGCATTGTGCAAAGCGCTATCGCATACCCTAAATACCCTGGATCGAGCATCATTGCAGTATCATGCGTCGACTGTGCGATCAATTCAAGCCTCCGCCACTCCAGAGGTGGAAGAACCACAAGATGCGTGGCCCACCATCAATCTCTCTTCTGGCGAATCGGTTCGTGCTAGATTACTTGTAGGCGCTGACGGCGGCAATTCGCCGGTGCGAAAGTACTCGAGGATAGAATCTAGCGCTTCGAAGGACTACGGAAAGAAGGGAGTCGTAGGCACATTGAGGATTGATCCGGCGCACGCTGTTGGAAGTGAAGGCGTTGCGCGGCAGAGATTCTTGCCGACGGGTCCCATCGCTTGGCTGCCTGTGAGTTGCCATCTCGTCGAGCTGTGGTGATCGCGCAACACCCTAACCTACCTTCTTGCGCTCGTCAACAGGTGTCCGAAACGGCAGCTTCGATGGTATGGACGTTGCCTGCTGAGCTTGCAAATGCCATCATCGCGATGCATCGTTCGTCCAACGGCAACACCCTTCTTGCTCAACTCGTCACAGCAGCCCATCGTCTACCCTGGCCTGTTCTACGAAGTATTCTGCAAGCCATTCATAACCACCAAAACGTCCCCACTCCTCGAGACGCAAGCCGAGACTGGAGCTGGCTCTCACCTCTGATCCTTTCAGAGCTGAACCAGCCTGGCGTGCCGGACCCAATCGCCGGCCACGAAGTCCCTCCTGCCGTGCAAGAAGTGGATGCGTCTTCCGTGGCAGCGTTTCCGCTGCGAATGAACCACGCTCAAGGATACTCTGCCTACGGGCAAGGGGTGGACAGCGCAAGGTACAGTTTCAACATCAACGATTCTTGGTCAGAGATTCTGACCAAAGGTATTTTGCAAGCGCAATCCCTCGCTGGATTGCGGAAGCCTAGCTCTCTCGCCGATTCCTCATTATCCGAAAGACCATCGCAGCCAGGAGCACAATTTAGCGCCTTGTCGCGCGATCGAGCCATCAGCAAAGCTCGAGGTCGCGTAGTGCTTGTGGGCGATGCGGCACACACCACCCATCCTTTGGCAGGCCAAGGACTCAATCTGGGAATCGCCGACGCTCGAAGTTTGTCCAATCATCTGGGCCAGGCAGCTCGTGATGGTTCGGACTTGGGCGTGGCTGCTTACGCGTTGGCAGCTTACGAGTCGGAAAGATGGGGAGCAAACGAGACGATGCTCAAGACTTGCGACTCGCTAGACTGGGTCTACAGCTTCGATAATACCATTGGTCCGACCGCCACGCTGCAAGACCAAGAGACGCTGGACGACACGTTTGAAGGACCCGAGGATCCTAGGGCAAAGGTGCTAGCAGAGGCTTTTGTATGGGCGAGGAGCACCGGTTTGGAAGTTGTGAATGAGTTGGGACCCGTCAAGGAGGGCCTTGCTAGATTGGCCGGCAGTGCATACTCTCGGCCAAAGTCAAATACAGGCAGTGGGTGACAGGCCCTGCGGAGCAATTTGATGAGATTGGCAGCAACCTTGATGGAACGTGCAATTAGAGGAGGACAGAAAAGCAGAATGCACAAAAAGTCTGACGTGTCCCTTCCAGCAGGCGAGAAAGGTGAGATTGTCCGGGGCAGCAATGAAGGACGAGCAAAGAAGTGAGATGCTCAACTGGGGGTCATTCGCCTGCGAACAGACGTTTGACCAGGTAGGTCGTCGATCCTATCAGTCTGAAGCCAGCCAGCGCCGCAACAGAGTAGAGCAAGAAGGCCATGTAGGTCAGTCTGACTCTATCATTGGACACGTTCAGGATGCCGATGCCGAGTCCAGCATTGGACAAGCTCCAAAGCAAGACGACGTTGGTACGAATGCTGGCGTAGTAATCCTTTTGCTTCGTTTCGGCATCCACGCGCTTCACCTCGGCAGGCGCTTTGGTCGAGAGCACGTGCACCGCATCGTCGTACGCCGAGTTGAGATCCTTGAGATCGGTGGGGATCGCAACGTCGACGGTATTCTTGCCGCCGGCATTGCCAACAACACCCAGATCAGTTTCCACTTTGTCCGATCCCTTGGTACCCCACGACACATCGTGGCTGTGTGTGGCGAATGATTTAGAAACGTTAGCCTGCTGCATGTGGAGGAAGCTCGGCAGCTTCCTGGACTCACACGTTGCAGAATGCGTAAATGCTAATGACGTTGACAAAGGATGGAGCCATAAGCAGATACTGAATGATGGAGGTGAACATATGCCATGGCTCGAACTGCGGCCCAAAGGCATCGAGTTAGTTTTAGCTCTGGCGTATGCGGAAGGCACAACAAGCTCAGGTGCCACTTACGAAGAGCACACTTGCGATGAGCCAAATGCCATACGTCGACGCCAAAGAGACGACAATGTTGATGAAGATGGGGTCCGTGACGAGCGCCGTGCTGCTATCGGCACTCCTCTCCGCGTTGATGATCGAGTGAACAGCGAGGTAAACGGCTGCGGCCTGCGTATTCATGGCTCGATAAGTCATGAGCGTTTGGACTACGCACTCAGCGGGGGCGAAGCTGTCGAATCCTACTCACGGTCATATACAAGGTGATCAAGGCAAACACGACCATGCTCAGGGTGTACCCCCACTTGCTTCCAGCAGGCCTGTTGCCCATGGAGAGCAAGAAGCAGAACACAATGAAGGCCAGCTGCGCGCGAAACGAGAGAATAAGTACGCTTTCCTCCTGAATACAGGGCTGAAGGGTTGCTCACGTAAATGTACGAAAGAACTGCAACGGCGGCAACAGACTTGTCAGGTTCAAGTCTTAATGTCAGGTGCCCGGTACTAATGCGAGACTTACTGATGTTTGGGATATGGGTCTGCTTCACCACGTCCGACATCGCAGTGGTGAGGATGACGAACGCTAGTCGTGAAGATCTCGATCAGAACATGTTTTTTTCACTCGATCAAACAATAGCATGTCTGCTTTCCGAAGACTCACCAATGAAAAAGTTCGCCATGCCAAACCAAGAAAAGAAGAGCTGAATAGCTTGGTAGAATATCTCGATGTGGATGAAAAATTTTCTCCAGAAAGAGTGAGATGAGCGGTAGAGGTAATGGAAGTGGACGATGGAGTGGATGCCCGCAAAGAAAGAACCATTGAGCCAACGTCTTCTCTGAGAGATCAATTCTGGTACCTGCATGACGAGAGACATGGGTTTGGGCTTAGGTCTACGAAGCTGCAGAGGACGCGGACGATCTTACGCACCTGGTCGGGCACATCTGTGACGGCCTGTGCAGACTTCACATAGTGCAAGATCCAAGCGCAGTCTCTCTTGGAGCACAACTCCCAGCACAAGATACGATCTCTGTCCAGCCAAAGTCAAGACAGGTCAGCGATGTTCGCGCATGTATGCAGTAGATTGGAGGTACGCACTCAGCTAGGTACATGTTGGACTGGAAGATGTCTGCATCCGCTTTACCGCCGTGTAGCGTTTCGCCTTTGAAGTAGCTTGCGAGCGGACCTTGACCTTGCGAGTCATTTTGCAAGGCTGTTGCAGACATTCGAGCGAAAAAATTCCGGGTTAGATCGCACGCCTCGCTCGAAAGTTTTCTTTCCAATACACTCACCAATGTAGCGATAGGCCGAGAAAGCGCCAGGAAGCACAGTGATAAAGCCGAACACCGATTCGAGAGGCTTATCAAGAATGTTGCTCATCTTGTACTCAAAGTTTTGGGCAGCGATCAGAGGATTGAAGACTCCCTGCCCATACTTGCCCTTGAGCGCGACGATTTCTCCACAAGCTCCAGCCACATTGCTGTTGATGTCGAAAGCCTTCCACAAGTGGTAGATGGACTTTGCGCGCGGCATGGTGCCGACATCCAACAGCACGCACACGTTGGGTTGCAGGACCTGTCCAAATGCGTTGAAGAACCAGCGGTGCGAATTAATTTTCTTTTGGTTGCGCTCTTTGAGGCAGAAGAGGATCTGAACCGGCATGATGCCCTTTTCTCGCCCTCGAAACTTGAGCGAAGGGTCAACAGAGAGCTGAGTGGTGTATCTGCGCGGTAGAGATGGTATCAGCTGATGCCGCAGCTGCGAGCTTCGAAACCGACTCACTCGTAGATGTGCGCTGTGACCGGCTTGCCATTCACCACGTTCTTGCCCACACCCTCTTGGTAGACACCCATGGCAGCGAGGACACCTGAACAAACGCCATGGTTAGTGAGCTCCCTGTTCGAGGCTTTGCAGTCGTCCCCGTGCCACTCACTCAGCGTCCTGCTGTTTATCTTCAAACGGCCATCGCTGACGATGCAGACTACGACCTTCTTCCAGCCTTCCTTTCCCCATGTCTTGGACCTATCCCTGGTACAGAGATGAGCAATGTTGCTCATTACGCCGTGCATCGTCCTCGTGAAGAGCACATCGTCTTCCTGTGGAGTCAAATGTGAGTGCTTGGGCATCGTTGAGGGATTTCGTCTGGCCGGATAATCGAGCTAGGGCGACCCACTTACGTTGTACATGGTGAGACAGATGAATAGCTCTGTCCTTCTGGGCGGATCAAAGAGGACCTGACGAAGCGTGTAGCGCTCATCCTTGAAGTCGTCTGGGTCGCAAGTAGCAGCAGTGTACCTCATATGAGTGAACTCTCTGCTTTCTCGATCATTGAGTCTGTCCAGCAGTCGAGTAGGAACGGGGCAGTCGAGCACAAGGTTTCCGTGGTACAGCTCGACTCGCTTCAGCGTCTTGTAGCGACGAGGCACTCTCTGAGGGATGCGCCCATATCTGATGCCCCCTCCTCCTTCTTCCAAGAATCCACCAGGCATTCCAGCACCTGCCGCATCGCTGCCGAAGCGAGATTGTCTCCTCCTCAAGGGCATGCCTTCCTCATCCTCGCTATCTTCGGCCGTAAAACCTCCGACAAAGTGTGAGCCTTGGGTGGTGTGATCCGCTGCTGAGCCCACGTGATGTCCACCATCATCGAATTGAGAAGCAGGTGCGTACGCATAGTTGCCGTGAGCGGGCAAGAGTGGCACATCTCCAGCATCTACCGAGTTTCGATGGCCCGCATGAAGCTCCTGATCGCCATAGTCTATGCTGGCTCTACCTCCTCTGCCATACAAGCCGTGTCCAACTTCGCTCATCCTCCTACCATGCTCCCCTGGCGTTGCGCCGTACGGACTATGCTCGTGATCTCCAGCATGGGCAGGCGGGTAGTCAGGCGCTGCTCCGCCGTACGGATTGTTCATCGGGCTACCAGCTACGGGAGGAGACGCGGCATAGGTAGGCTCGGCGTAATTGTCGTAGTGGCCTTGAGGCGGCGACATGGGTTGAGGGGGCGCACTGGCATCGTACGAAGGGTAGGCTGCATGCGCCCCTCCTGCCACTCCCGGCGGGGGCTCGGGTGGGTCAGAATACAACCTTTGGCCTCTTGGCGGCATTGCGTGACGGAATGTTGTTGGTGTCGCCTGTGCTCCCCCAATCTCTCCGTCGTGGCTCGCCCTGGCTAGCGCTTTCCAAAGCTGATAGGTTCTCCGAGTGCAATGATCCTGACGAGACCCAAGCCTCGTTTCGTTGCTGAAGGCTCTTGCGAGCTTGAATGTTACCACTAAGTGGTTTGCGCCTGCAAAAAGAGGCTTGCAGAATCGAGCCGGTGAGAGTCAATGTAGGTGGTTGTGTCTGGCCACAAAGCGGTGTCTGTCTCGCTGTTCTTCATTTTGAGTACATTCACAATTGCCGTCCAAGATCGATGCTGTCCACTCCACAGGCCGGCCCGCAGCGCCGCTTGGCGAGGTCTACAAGGCGCATCTCTTTCCGCCTGTCCGCTGCTGCATGGAGCTGATGCAGCGAAGCTGATGCTGATGCTGTGCAGCCACAAGACGTCACTCAGCTCCACGCGCGCCGTACGCGTTGTCCCCTTTCCGCGGCAAAACATCACACACTCACGGCGTAGGTGATTGTGTGCGCAGGATGCGCGCGTCTCATGCATTATATATATGCATCGCGCGCCCGGCGAGAGAAAGCAAGGCTGACAGCGGCGGTGGAGAAGGCAAGTTTTGCACAGCAATTGAATCACACAATGTCCATCAGCTTGCATGATACGCCATGCAGAGCTCAGGAGCAGGGCGTCCTGTACTGTACAGGGGCAAAGTGCAGCACGCGTGATGCATCATTGTTACTGTCACTGTGACTGTCTTAGTAGCATTGGCAGCTATGGCGTTTAAATGTCAGGTCGCCGCTTGGGCCCACAGAGCTGCATAACGGCAGATGATGGTCAACGGGTTCACCATCCGTGGGTTGATGATGCTGCGTGGAGACCCGATGCAGGTGCAGCACCATCCCGGAATTCCTACGACGCAGCAAGATCTATACTCGCGTCGAATGAGGGTGAGTGAGGCTGTGTGCATATATCATCTGCAGTCTGTGTGAGTCTTGAGTCTTGAGTGGCATGCAGTCCCACAAGAGCAACACGTGATCTTGCGAGTTCAGGTACGCTCTCGATCTTTTCAAAGGCGAATTTGAATTGGACTTTTGACTCAAACTCAAGCATCTTGACTCACGACTCACGACTCACGACTCTTGACTCGGAATGAGGCCAATCAGGAATCGGAATCAGAAATCTTGAAAGTGTACCCTGCCTATACACAAAGCAGATGCACGTCGACATATCATCATGTTTAGTATGATTGATCTAGTCGCCTTCGAGATCAGTCCCTGATTGTGAATCACGAATTTGTGCCTTTCTTTTTGAAATCGCAGCTTCAGTCGCAGTCTCCCGGCGGGCCTGCGAGGTCGGACGCGGTGAAGCTTTCTGAGCTGGACGGGTTCGGGAACGAGACAAGCTCGAAAGATCGGCCGCAACGGGAGGGCAATAGCGACGATGTCCAAGACTACGCTCACCCATCCAGCCTAGCCAGGACTCACTCCCCTACTGTTGCAGAACTCTGCCTGCCAAGTCCACAGCAGAGCCGTGTATCGGGCCATACCTTCCACCCATGCCCCTCGGCTGGCCCCTCAAATTCTCACAGGAACGATCTCGGCAATCAAAGTCTCGTCACATTGGCGCAGTGCCCTCTTTCTCTTCGAAAGTTGGGCTCATGAATGTCTGCTTTGACGCTCGTCCCTGGAGCATCGACTTTGCCGACTCTGCATCACGAATCCTCTTCACGATCTCTGCTGGCCAAACGGCCTCAGTAGTCTTTTTCTGCCAGACACGAATCTCCTACCGTGACCAGGTGTGGCCTCTTCCCATCAGCGGCGCGAGGTCTGTTGTGCACGCCCTGTGCGCTGCGATGCCTTCGTGAATCGCGACTCTCATCAGGTACCCTCGAGCACAGCTTCGTGTCCATTCTCAGTGCAGCATCAAAGACGGTACAGTGTAGTGAATGTCCGTACACGTCGCTATAGTCCAAGCCAAAAGTTGAGGTCAGCCTCGCGAATTCGTCACAGCAGTCACAGTGCTGTGTAGTCAAGAGTCAGTGAGCCCATCACCCGTAACGCGTCTGTCCACTCCCCGCCGCGCGCAACGGCTCATGCAGCTGCAATGTGAATGGCGCGCGCGCGGGACCCGAACGAAATGCCTCAGCCAGGGCGGGGAATTAAGCCCTGCTCTATACTGCGGGGGCGGACACTCACGACGCTCATGATCCTTTCCTAACAAGCATCCACACGCTCCCTGTACAGTCAGGAGTGCTTCTGACTGGATATTCGCCCGTCACTCACAATCAGAATGTTCCTGCCTTGGGTCGAATAGACACTACTTGCGCTGCCTGCCCACGTCACCCGATGCCGAGCGAATCCGTTGAGAGTGTTGAAGAGGGTCCAAGAGGCTAATAGCGGCGATCAAAGAAAGCACTGCCGTTGAGATCACCACGTCTCCTAGCAAAGGCAGGCTCGCAAGTACTGTCGGAACGCGATCTCTTCGACGGCAGAATCCAAGATTACTTCGCAGTCGCAGTGATCGCCCAACAGCGCTGAGCTTGATCACCCATTCACCTCATCGAGCCGGCCTTGAAGAGAGCGTCAAGGGACGAGGTGATTCTTTCCGACGAGCGGCTTTGCGGTGCTTTGCCC